GTCCGGGATGTAGTTCCTTTCTGAGATGTCCCCGGTGCGCGCTTCGGCGGCCCGGTTGGGCTTGTATTTTTACTAAACCCGACTGTCTCGTTCTACCCGAGTGTTCTGCCATTTCATTTTAATAACTGGTTTCTTGTGACCATTTCCTCGGTGAGTGTTGGATCGGTTTTCATGAGTTTACTTGTAACTTGATTGTCAAAGTAGGGTTATGATGCCCATGGTTCCCATGTGTCTGACTGGAGTATTGTTTCTGCAGGGTCCTTTTATCCGGCCTTCTACTGTGATGCCACCTGTTTATTTCGAGCATCATGCCTCAAGAATTCAGGCCTTTGTTTTATTAGTTTTAAGATTTAGTTAATTGATCTGAAGTGTTGCAATTAGCAACTAGATTTGAAATATGTTTGTCTTTACGTTGAAACTACTTTGAGTTGAGCCTTGAGATTGGAGTTTTGAGATTTCTTTGAGATGTAGTGGTGGTTCTTATTTGAGCTATTGAGTCGTTTTGTTTGAGCTTTCGCTCTCTACTTTTAGTGTTCAGTCTTGTTTGTTCGGCTTTGAGTTCAGTTTGCGTGGTTTGATATAGAGCAGCATTTGTAATGAAGTTGGCGTTGAGATCTATTTATTGGATTCACTGTTGGAGTATTCGGAATGTTTATTGAATGGTTCTTTGAACAGTATAAAGTATAAAGTTTGCTTATTTTTAATTGTTTTGTCTGGTGTTCGACCTCCAGTAGCCTGTTCCTTTGATGGTACTTTACAGTACCTGGCAACCAACTTATTGTGAGTTTATTTAAAGTCAAAGAGTTCACCCTCACCCTCTCTACCACCTTGGTGTAGCCGGTGCCACCAGATAGACATTTTAGTTATATACTTCTTAGTTATTTTAGAGGCTACAGTGCGGTGGGGCGGGGGTTCCGGGCGGCACAGCACCCTCTCCATTAGTACAGCTCTGAAGCTGCAGGTTCACAGAACGAGGGGCTTTCCGGAGATGATAACCGATTTCGGATGTGTCGAATGATACGGGGAATGTAACGCCGTAACGCCTAGCTCGAGGTGACACTCTCCGTGCGCGATCGGCTGGACGCACCGGACCACACCGGACGCAGCCGCAGCTGGGCTAGCCGGCCGGTGCTGCCCGAGCAGCCGCCGCACAGGTTCACAAGATGACAAGTATTTTGAACACTACAGCCAAGTACCAAGGCAAACGGCATCGGAACACTTCACTGGAAAAACTAACGTTACCGAGGTAACGTTTCTTGACGCGACCAAACCAGGTAACGTTTGGTGATGCAACCAGTTTGTGATGGCCCTATCCTTTTGCATGGGGTAGGTCGCGTCAGGAAACGTTACCGGTCTTGGTCACATGATGAAACGTTACCATGGTAACATTAGTTTTTCCAGTGTTTTGCGAGCTAGTTGCTGACAATGGGAGAAACAGATCAAAACATGATATAAGTACTCACCGCTTGGGACGCAGAGCAGCTGTTGAGTTTGCAGTAAGATCTTCCATTGTTGAAATCGAAATACTTTTGAACAAAGTCAAAGCTAGGCCGGCCAGCCTTACCGTTATCACTACTACTCGCCGCAGACATATCACGCACAGATTAACGCACATACAACAACGCACAACAATCTTTTAACACTCGGTGCCGTCTCTTCCGGGGAAGGTGTTTACATTCGGTGTGACGGCTGGCTGCAACTGTGTGTATTGGCCAGGGGTTATCTACCAGATTAATTAAATTCACGTTTATTGTATTTATTGTTAAAATATGTTTAACTACCATGTTACGACTTTGTCGGAGTTGGCCTGCTATGCGAATACCTCGAGATAGTCGTGGCCCGGTACGTGGTACGTCAGCACGTCAGCTGAGCGACCAATGCGCGGCACATAAACAGGTCGGACCTCTTGCAACTCCCACCTCCTTGGTTGGGGTATGTCTCGGGGCCTGATCCTGACTTCCTGTCCGGAGGCAGACCCGGCCTCCTGTGCGCGCATGGAAATGCTGTCCAAAATCTCTGACCTAGCGAGTATTCGAACCCCTGATCTTAGGCCCGACTTCCGCCAGGTCGGCGCCAAATCCCACGTTCCTACTCCGGGGTCAAATTCCCATGAGGATTCCCATAGGAGGGACTCTCCTATCACGACCTTTAATCGATGTTTCTCTTGTTTAAGGATGAACCAACATACTGATTTGAAAAATACTCCACGTTTGGGTAGATAAAGTTCAGATCAACAGGCAGTCGTTACAACCCATGTCTCGTCTCATCTCTCCCTGTTGATCTAAACTTTATCCCCAAAACTTGACGAGATTATATTTTCCAAATTAGAATGTTTACTTTACCATTTACGAAAAACAGTCAAGTCGGTGAGTTGTTCTTTTCATACTTTCGTTTTGCATGGCCTAGAACACCCTATTCTGCTTGAGATTCTCTTGACAAGGGAATTGCTGCGATCTTGGCCAGTCATTCACTGCCTACTGTAGAAGTTTCGGCTACCGCAGTAAACAGTGAAAGTCAAACCTTTTTCCTGTTTTCATCTCGTTTTACCAAAGCCTCTGCATCAATTCTATATTTCTACACGGTTACTGCGCCAGGTTAATTTTCTTTATATTATTTAAAGTTTCTAGGATAAAATGGTATTTTTAGATCGTTTCGACCAATGCTTACATCACAAAGTATAACCCCGCACCAGTGATCATGGAACTGCATAACAACACAACTGATGACCAGTCTCCGAGCGCTCCTGGAAGCTGTGGCCACATTGGTGCGTGCGATATGCCGGTAATGATTGACTCCGGTAACATCGAGCAGAGCAAGAGCGCATAAAACGTACAAAAGTATATCACATTCCGACGTATGGATTGGTCAGCGCGTTGAAGTTCCGCCTGCACAAAGAAAAGGAGCTGTCCAGAAAGCAAATAAGAATATGTTCATTTCGGGTGGGCCAAAAGGCCAAAAGGCATGGTCATAATGTCAGGGCTTCGTAACTTATGTTAACACGAACGACTGTTAGTTGGAGTGTGTCCAAATTCTCCAATGTGTCGACACTCTTCGACACAAGGAGGAGTAGTAGTCACTGTGAGAAATATCGTCTTAAATTCACGAAATTTTTATTAACTGGATTTACCATTTAAGTTGTTAATTTACGAGGGCACATTTTTTACTCGACAATGCGTTTAAGGTCGACACGCACTGGATGTGTTTTTACGATAACAAATTGTAATTTTACAACTTGCACCAAGGAAAAGTTTCCTGGAAACCTTCATACTTTCTTTCACAGTGATGGAAAAGAGTATCGTGAGCGGCCAATAGGACCCCGCTCCGCAGGCGCACGGCAGCTGAGGGAGAAGCCAAGAAGCAGAAAAGCGGGGAGTTGAGGGGCGCGTAGCGGATGCGCGACGCTCCCTCATACCCCCCGCTTTTGTGTTGCTCGCCTTCTTCAGACGCCGCGCGCCCGGAGCAGGGTACCCTATCCAAGCAATCACGCCTCACTCGACACTACTTCGCTCCACTCCTCGACACAACTTACACAATGGGGAATTCGGACACACTCGTACTTATCGCAACAAAGCACAAGTCAATAGGGTATTTCGCTCAGTTTAAACCGGGTTCAAAGAAGAACAGTAATGTTTCCTGAGCTGTTTCCTCCCTGACGCTCATTGGGTGACGCGGACGAAGTTCTCAGACCCGTCAATAGGGCAGTCGCAGGCCTGGTGGCGAGTCCGCGAACTTCG